GAAACCGAGTTCCTTCTAGCCTCAAGGAGTCCATGAGCCACTCACCTCTCTCAGGGGGCCCTGGTTCTCACGGCCCCAAATCTGGCTTTGTGTAATGAAGACTTTTTTCCTCGGGGGAGGCGTGGGGGGTTGATCAAACAAGGGCCTGCATACGAACCCACTGCATCTTAGTCAGGAGCTATGGATCCGGGCAGTTGTTCAGTGAAACAAGCCAGCAGCTCTGTAGAGGGGCCGGCAGCCTGAAAGGGGACAGCACTGCTCATCTTACAGTCACCCTGCCCAGCCCCAAGGAGCTGGGGGCACAGGAAGATGGTAGGGCTAAAAGGCTTTTAGATTAAACAGAGATCATCAACATCTCAGCACAACAAAGGGACATCTCTGCTGGTCAACTTCCCAGCATTTTCTGTCTACAGTGCCGGGTCAACAGTCAGCAGGGGGCCCACCACCCCCGGGGACATGACCTCGATGCAGCCCCCACCCACCCCACCCCCCAGCTCTGTGCTGGAGCCAGTGCTGGCCACGCTGGTGATAACCTGTGCCTTCTGGGCACTGGACGTTCGTGACTTCACGTGACCCTCGTGACCACCCTGTAAAGAGTGCAGGGCGGCTGCTGTTTGCCCGACTTCCACACGAGGAAACGGGTAGTTTTGTACAAGTACCCCTGGACTCTGTCCACCTGGGAAAGGCCTGGAGCACCTGGCCCTGGTGAGTTCACGGGCAGAATCTGTCCTGTCGGGCCTTTCGGCGGAGGCCTCTCTATAGGACTGCAGTCTTCTGGGGCCACCTCCGGAGCCCCACTGCCTCAGGCCTGTCTCCTCACTCCCAGCCCCTCGGCTCCAGGCTGCATCCACTTCCCCCAAGGCTAGCACGAGTGAGCCAGGCGTGAGCATCACTGACTCTGAGCTCAGCAACACCTCTTCCACTGCTCAACAGGGTAGCAAAGACCACACAGCACAGGCTTTTCAAAAAAATACGGCTTTTTATTGTCTTGGATGCAAATATAGTTTTTGAACTGCATTGTAGTGTTGAATACAGCTGGTGGAAACTTGCTTTTCAACAGTGGAGCATAAAGGGCCGTGCTCTGGATGGTGCAGGCCTGAGGGAGCCTCCGATTAACAAACCTCTTCTTGGGTTTTGTTTTTCTGCCCACAAAGGGTGACTGTCTCCTACCGGAGGCCTGACACAGTCACCAGAGCTCACAACAGAAAAAATGAACCATTTATACAATGAACTGAAACCCAAAAAAGGAAAAGAACGTGCTGTTTCAGCTGTGGCGTTTACAAAACAAGCAAAACGAGCTGTGTGAACAGATTCAGATAAAGCAGCAGCAGGGCACCTCGGGGTGAGGCCCCGGTCCAGCTCCCTCGCAAGAAACATAGCCTGGGCTTCGTGTCTCTCTGGTCAAGCCCTTCCTACCTTTTAACTGCAGGATGTAAACTCTACGGAAATGCATCAGACTTCAGTTTCTCCCAACCCTCTCCACAACCTCAACTCTTGACAGTGGCGCATCTCCGTTCAGAAACCCAGGAGAGAATTCTTCAAATTAGTGACGCCCAGGGTTGACTCTGGAACCAAAAGTTGGACTGGGAGATGGAGGTGAATTTTGCTACATAATTATAAAAGAATTTCACAAAAATAAAATTCCATTAAGTAAACACCCACAAACACACACGCAGGCTTGTGTAAGCGCACACACGCGCGCACACACACACACGCACACGCACAGTCAAAGCCAACATACAGCAGGAAAAGTTCCCTTTTCTTTATCAAAGGCTTATTTTCACGAGCCTCGACAGGAAACAGCCCTGTGTGGTGAGCTGGGAAAGCCAAGGCGTCAGAAGGAAAAGAAAACAGGGCAGGTGATCTGTGTGGAGGCACCCGGGGGGTCCTGAGGCTTCTCTCTGCTCCTGGAGCCCCTCCGACCCCCACACCTGCCTGCTGAGTGGGTCAAGGATACACGACCACTGAAACGTACGTGTTGAAGGTCCAAGCTCCTCCACCCTCCACCCTCACTGTCCTGTCCTGTCATCTGTGTTCAGACGTGGTGACAATCCTCTTTCACGTACGAGGCACCAGGGGCATGGAGCCAAAGACCCCCACCGCCCACTGCTGCCCTTGAGCCCACACTGGGGCGCCCCAGCTCCCTTCCTCAGCAGGCCCGCCACCAAGGAAGCCAAGCTGCTCTGACAAGCGGTGTTCCAAGCCTGCCCCCCTGCAGCCCAGATGAGATAAAACAACCAAAGTGGGGCAGGTTAGCCAGCACGGGGCTGGGTCCACACTGAGCAAGTGTGCAGGCCGCGGGCAGACAGGCCCCCTGGACAGCCCCAGCTCCACCCTGATGAGCCCTCGTTCAGCTGGACGGTGAGAACGTGTGATCTTGAAAACGACGACGAGCCTGCCGCTCGGACTTACTCATCCAGGTGGAGAGCCGGCTGTACAGGGAGGGGAGGCCCAGGCTGAGAGGAGGCCACCGCACCCCCTCACCTAGGGAGGGACAAGGGGTTTGGCCCCCACCCTGGGATGCCACGTCCCCTAAGAATCGAAGTTTCTCTTTCTATCAGCCAGACCAATAACAACCTGGAGGGCTGAGCGCTATCTAGAAAGAGAGGCGGGACCAGGTCACAAGGACAGAGTAGAGGGAGCTGGGTGCATGGGGTCACCCGCGGCGCCCTGCCAGTCCCTCCCCAACGAGACCTGCTGCTCACATCGACACTGACTCCTGACGCCGGGGCTGCTTCTTCCCTTGTGCCCTGAAAACCCCAGCCAGGTTGGGGGCTTGGTGGGAGAGGGGTGACAGTTGGATGTCACCCACCTGAGACCGAGGGAGGGACGGGCCAGCCAACTGCGGAAAGCCCCACTCTCCCTGCATCTCCCACACGGTGTCAAACAGCAACCAGCAGTGGGAAGGGAGTTGATGGCACAGAAAGATTTCACAGAAACACTTTCAGAGATTACGTGCCAGACGGGCTTTTTTTTTTCCTTTTCAGATTGATTTTCTTATTCTCCAAAGTGTCAGCATTTTAGTCTCTTTTACGGGAGGAGGGACAGGAGTAGGGGTGAAAGTGAGTGTAAACAAACTACAGCATCCACTGGAGGCGGTCGGCAGAGTGGTCCCGGGGTCCCTGCATCCCGGCCTGGGACCCCAGGACAGAGGTCTAAGCTAGGCCCCCGTCTGGCCAGACTCATCAGGCAAGAATCCAAAACAAGAAAACTGCCGGGGCAAGAAACAAACGTGTTTGTAGTAAGAGATACAGCTTTGCGGCCCTACAGCCATAATGGTGAGCACCAAGAGAAATGGATTTAAGTAAATATCTCAAAACAAAACATGCATCTAGTTAAACATCTGCTGGGACACACACTCGCGCGCGCGCACACACACACACACACACACACACACACACACACCCTTCAATGCCTCATACAACCTAACAGCCTTAAATATTAAAAAAAATAGAATCATGAACATTACATCAGCCAAAGGGAGGGGGAGGTAGGCCAGAGAAGGAAGAGGCCAATTTTATATCCCATGGAGCTAAAAAAAAAAAAAAGACTCCCAGCAAGGGGTGGGGAGAAAGCTAGTGATCTCGGAGAGGTCATGGCCGGGCCGAGCTCCGCGGCCACCACGCGGTTAACGAAGGCACAGGAACTGGGGCGAGGCCGAGGGCAGGACCCTCCACGAGCCCTCAGGGCTGGAACGTCTCTGGCTTTCCTTTTTCCCTTTTGAGCCTCACGGAGTTCTTACCACGGTGCTCTTCCACTTTTGAGGGAGACCTCGTGTCCACTCCGGGGGAAGGTTGAGCTCCTGTCCCTCCTCCCAGTGGAAACGAAGGGCTGGCCCAGCCTCGTTGCGTGCTCGGGCCTCAGGAGAGCGATCGGAAGGCCTGTAAACACGGGTTCTGGGGAGGTGGAGGGATGCCACCGAGGGACCCTTGACGGGGCTGGAGCACGAACGAGGGAACAGGTGACCGGTTGTGACCCATGGCAGGGGCAGTGGCACGGCCAGCGGCAGAGAGGACCCCGCCTCCATCCTCCATCAGCCGAGGCTGAGGTGGGGCTGCCTGCCCCACCGAGCACCTTCCACAGGCCTCCGGGATCCAGCAGGAGCCTCTGAAATGATCCAAGCTTCAGAGGGTGGCCCGCAGCGGCCCCTCCTGAGGCCCCTGGGCTCCTGGTCTGCCCAGCGCTTGCCCAGTCTCCGTCTCGGGTCAGGAGGACAGAGGTTGAACGGGAAGCCTGCTGGCCTCTGAACTTCACAGCAGGACGTGAAAAGCACATTCTTTCAATGAGGAGGTACCCCTGGCTGGGCTTCCTGAGTGTTAAGAGAGCATCCTTCCACCTGGAGCTGCTCCTGCAGACACACCAAGAGGAGGACGGGCCCGGGAACGCCCCTCCTGCCGTGCCCTCCTCTGAACCCTTCCAAGTGCAATTCCCACATCCGGAAACAGCCTGCTGCCCCCCCCACCTGGACCAAATCTGAATACAACTCTCTACAGTCTGGTCTGGAGCCGCCTAGAGACAGCTCCGAGGCAGCCACCTCAGAGCTCGGTGTCAACATTCAATTTCTGCCTCCAAACACGAGACAGACGCTGGGTGTGATGGCGTCTTTGGTCCAGGAACTGTTATGATTTGGGGCTCCCAGCTGGACAATCCAGACAAGGTGACCAGGCCGATGGCAGCACTGTGGAGCCTGGTCTTTCAAACACTGCACCCGAAGGGCCAGCAGCATCCATCAAGCACAGCCGCCCGCCCGGCTGCGGCTCGGAAGCAGGTGGAGAACGAGGAAGGAGGGCCCCAGCTGAGCCCCGCCACGCGATTCTCAGGCCGGTGTCACCACGGAGGCTGCAACGCCAAGTGGAACCAGATCAGGACAGATCGAAGTCCCGCCCGAGCGGCCCTCCAAGCCAGCAGCAGCTCCGCATCGCTTGTGCTTCCGTTCCTGTCTGCGGGCACGTGCACCCACCACTTTGCACACGTGTGTTGCGGGATTTCCCCAGCAGCCAGCCCTGCGAAGCCTGAGCAGACGTCCAATCTATCTACAAGGTCAGAGTCGGGGCAGGAAGGAGGATGCCTTCCAACCGCCCCACGGGCGCCTGAGAGGTTACAGGAGGCAGCGTGTGTAAGTCTCCAGACAGGAGCCGGGAAGGACCCTCGTGTTTCCTAACTTGGGGGAACGGGTGATGCCCCCTCTTGCCCCATCTGTTCCCCGCACTGCCGCCGTGGCCCCGACATCCCACCAGCAGGACAGGACAGGACAGGACAGGGACGGGCAGCGTTCCCCTTTGTTCCCCTTCATCCGGGCTACCTCGAGGGGAGGGGAGGTCGGTGACCGAGGTCGCTGAGTCAGAGTTCACAGCAAGGGGTTCCCTAAGCTGGGCTACTGCTGTGGGCAGGACCCGAACCTGCTTCAGACCTGAGCACGGCATTCTGAGCGGCTTGGGCCGCAGTCGGAGGGAGGCCCGGAAGCTCCGCATCAGGAGAAGTGAGGGGCGCGGCCTCCTCTCCACAGGCGGGAAGGGTCTCCACGGCTTCTCACGCGGCCATGTGCCCGCTAAGCGCTGCTAAGACCCCCCAGATCCCTGGCCCATTCTGGTGACGGCCTCCGCCGCCTGCTCTGGCAGCTGGGACGGGTCCGTCAGGATGGACGTGGTGGTGCTCAGGTGCCGGAGGGTGTTCAGCACAGCTGCAAGACAGAGGGGGTAGCTTGCAGACACGGCCCGAGCGCCAGCTCCAAGCCCCCAGAGGACAGAACACGCCGTTACGTGTGTACATCCTGCGTGGGGATTCTCAGGCCCCCAAAGCAGGAGAGGCACGGACACCAGGAGAGCTTCTCGCCTGAGGTCTGGACACTCACACCTCCACCTTTAAGACGACTCCCCCAGTCCCATCTCCTACGCTGCGGGTGGGCGGGGAACGCTGACCTCTTCCTGCTTGCCCCCCTGTTTTAGCATCACACCTCTACAGCCTTTATACACGGCCACAGCTTTTTTCGTTATTAGGAGAATTAAACACGAAAACGTATCTGAAAATCCCTGATACGTGGCCTGGTAAGTAGTAGATGCTCACTAAATGTGAGCTAGATCTGATCAAAGGGGCACACGGAGGTGGCAGGAAGTTGAGGAGAGGCTCTGGGAGCCCTCGCCCCCCCGCCCTGCAGGTGCGCCTCCGGCTCAGCCTCGCCCCACCTGCCCCAGTTGTCTGCGGGCCACCTGCAGCAGAGCCTGGGTTTTCCGCAGCCCCGCCCGCGTCCAAGCCCACACGGCCCCACTCACTTGGCCTGAGAACTGGCAGGGAGCAGTGCTCGTCCAGCCAGCACAGCGCCGTCCGGTGCAGCTCCTCCAGGCTGCTGCTGGACACCACACCCTTGAAGGACTCAAACAGCGGCTTGATGATGACGCTGAACTGCACAGCATGCAGGTTAAAGAAAAGGGAAGCGAGCGTGGAGAGAACGAAGTCCAGTCACAGGCTTGCCCGTGACCAACTCCCCTCAGGACTGGCAAGTAACTGAATAGTTGTGACGGGGTGGGGGTGGGGGGGACAGGGGGAGGGAGAGGGAGAGAGAGACAGAGAGACAGAGAGGGAGGGAGAGACAGAGAGAGAGGGAGAGAGAGAGAAACAGAGAGGGAGAGACAGGGAGAGAGGGAGAGACAGAGAGAGACAGAGAGGTCCCTAACTGTTCCTGAGCCCATGTGGCGACCACGGTCACTACACTCAGCCTGATGCCAAGGAACCTGCCACTGACCACAGAGGTTCTGACTCATGCCAGCTCCACTCAAGGACCAGGACCAGAGCAAAGTTGGGGGACTGGAGCTGGTGTCTGTCCTCTCTTCCTTTAAAACCCGCCCATTAGTGCACACAGACACCACCCGCCCTGTCAGGGCTGAGGCTGGAGCATCCATCCTCCCACGTGACCCCCTCTGCTGCCCTAGGCATGGCGACCGACCCCACCCCTGTGCACACTGTCCACTCAGAGGCACAGCGGTGGCTGGGTGGGGAGAGACAAGGGCAGAGCCGTCCCCCATAAGGGCCCTGCTGACATCTGGAAGGCCAAGTGCAGGGAGGCCTTGGCCCCAGAGACAGAGCCCAGCACTCAGGTATCTGTGCCTCGTTACAGCAGTCAAGGCCCTGCGGCACAAACGCAGAAAACAGCCTGGAGGGAACTGGCTTCAAATCCAGGCTCTGCCACTTAGTCGCTCTGTGAGCCCTGGTTTCGGGTGGCACCACATTCCCCACCGCTGCCAGGACAGAGCTGGTGCCAGGATGTGTTAGACCAGATCCCACCTCCTTCCCACCTTATTGCTTCTGCCAGTGGCTCCAGCCTTGTCTTTACTTCTCAAGGACGCAGAGCGCAGAGCGGGCCTGTTCCAGGTCCCCAGGGAGCCCCAAGCCTGGGCGGGCACCAAGGACAGCCTGCTCCACACCGCAGGCCCGGCCGGGCCCCTCCCTCTCGAGACAGAAACTAGCATTACCTGTCTTGACAAACTCAATGACAACCATTTAGAGAGCATCTTTCTAAAGCAACTGAAGGGTCAGTGTCTGCGGTTTTAGTGCACTGGTTGGGGGGATGGGGGATGAGCAAAGAAAACGCAAAGATACAATCCAGAACTTCCAATTCTGCAGAGTCCGGTTTTTCACATATTCGTCAAACATGTCTCGCATGTGATCAAACTGGCGCCGGGTGACGGGGACGCCCGTGGCAGGGAGCAGCTGCTGGCAGGAGCTGAAATGACAGGAAGAGTCGAAGGAAGCTCGGCGTGGCTGGGGGCCAAGTGGGCAGGCCCAGGCGGGGAGCCTGGGGAGGAGGAGGGCAAGGGCTGCAGCGCTGAGCAGAGAGGCCTCCACCAGCGATGAGTGCCCCCCCTGTGCCGTGCCAGCGAGGACGGGGTGCCACCTGAGTCCCCAGGTCCAGCCTCACATGATGGTGGTGTTGAGCTCCTCGATTTCCTCTCGCAGCCGCCGGGCCTCCTCCTGCATCTGGCTGCGCTCCTGCTGCAACTTGGTGATGTACTCCACGGTCTTCTGCAGTGTGATGGCGTGGCTGGTCTGCAAGGGGCGGCTGGGTCAGGGCGGCAGCGGGCGCGGTGAGCCCGCCATGTCCGCCCGCCACGTCCGCCCGTCCTGTCGGCCCTTCCCGCCCTCCGGCCACTCACCAGCTTGGTGTTATTAGAGATCAAGCTGTTGAGGGTGTCAAAGCCCATCTTGATGTTGAAGCGCCTTTTCTGCTCGGCTGAAATGTGCTTCATCTGCCGGTTCTGTTGGGAAATCGACCCGTCACTGCGACACAGGGACCCCTCCCCTCCCCATCCCACCCCCACCTGCTGCGGGTGGCACCACATTCCCCACCGCTGCCAGGACAGAGCTGGTGCCAGGATGTGTTAGACCAGATCCCACCTCCTTCCCACCTTATTGCTTCTGCCAGTGGCTCCAGCCTTGTCTTTACTTCTCAAGGACGCAGAGCGCAGAGCGGGCCTGTTCCAGGTCCCCAGGGAGCCCCAAGCCTGGGCGGGCACCAAGGACAGCCTGCTCCACACCGCAGGCCCGGCCGGGCCCCTCCCTCTCGAGACAGAAACTAGCATTACCTGTCTTGACAAACTCAATGACAACCATTTAGAGAGCATCTTTCTAAAGCAACTGAAGGGTCAGTGTCTGCGGTTTTAGTGCACTGGTTGGGGGGATGGGGGATGAGCAAAGAAAACGCAAAGATACAATCCAGAACTTCCAATTCTGCAGAGTCCGGTTTTTCACATATTCGTCAAACATGTCTCGCATGTGATCAAACTGGCGCCGGGTGACGGGGACGCCCGTGGCAGGGAGCAGCTGCTGGCAGGAGCTGAAATGACAGGAAGAGTCGAAGGAAGCTCGGCGTGGCTGGGGGCCAAGTGGGCAGGCCCAGGCGGGGAGCCTGGGGAGGAGGAGGGCAAGGGCTGCAGCGCTGAGCAGAGAGGCCTCCACCAGCGATGAGTGCCCCCCCTGTGCCGTGCCAGCGAGGACGGGGTGCCACCTGAGTCCCCAGGTCCAGCCTCACATGATGGTGGTGTTGAGCTCCTCGATTTCCTCTCGCAGCCGCCGGGCCTCCTCCTGCATCTGGCTGCGCTCCTGCTGCAACTTGGTGATGTACTCCACGGTCTTCTGCAGTGTGATGGCGTGGCTGGTCTGCAAGGGGCGGCTGGGTCAGGGCGGCAGCGGGCGCGGTGAGCCCGCCATGTCCGCCCGCCACGTCCGCCCGTCCTGTCGGCCCTTCCCGCCCTCCGGCCACTCACCAGCTTGGTGTTATTAGAGATCAAGCTGTTGAGGGTGTCAAAGCCCATCTTGATGTTGAAGCGCCTTTTCTGCTCGGCTGAAATGTGCTTCATCTGCCGGTTCTGTTGGGAAATCGACCCGTCACTGCGACACAGGGACCCCTCCCCTCCCCATCCCACCCCCACCTGCTGCCCAGATTAGGGGCAGATTGGGACCCTGAGGCCTCTAGAGAGCTATGTGGAAGGAGGGGCGACAGGAAGCTAAAAGGCTCCAGCGGGAGCCAGAAGGGGGACAGGACGGGACTAGAAAACCATCCCTGCAGGAGAGAGCACAGCAAGGGCCCGAGGCTGCTGCTTCAGCCCCTCCTGGCCACCCTCACACCTGGACCCAGTTCTGACAGCTGCCGCCTCCTCCCTCTGCTCCACAGGGCTCAGCGCTGGCTCCTGGGCTGAGGGTCACTGTCACCACGGGGCTGGGGGTAGGTGGGGGGTGGGAGGGGCCACCAGGCTCAAGGTTAAAGCAGCAAACCTCCCTCTTTCCGATGCCGCCCCAGCCTGGCGTGGGACACCCCTTAAGCCCACGGTTCTTTCCAGTGCGTCTCTAGTAAGGAACGCAGCCACCCCCAAAGTCCCTTGATGTGCTTCTCCTTGCCTCCCCATCCTTCCAAGGGAATCAAGACCCAACAGGTACCTTTAAAGCAGCCACATTTTTGGGGTCTGCAGAAGATTTCCCTGAGCAGTTGTTCTGGGGAGACTGAGGACTGGGGCTCTGTTCTGAAGCACACGGAGAGGCCTGCCCTGAGTTCGGGCAGTCCCGACCTGAGAAGAGCAGAGACTCCCCTTAGGGACCAGGCTGCACCAGCTGCGCAGGGACACCCACCCTGAACCTCCATGGCAGCCCCAGAGCAGAAACGGGAGGAACCCCTGCCAACAGGCGGGGGCAGGGGGTGGGTTCTGTTAGGCCTGACGGACGCCAGCTGGACGCTACAGTCACAGGTCTGGGAGCTGCGAGGAGGCCTGCCTCCTGGGCCACCAGGGGCGTCTGCAAGGCTGTAGTTCTCACCCTGGGTGGCGAGCACACGGCTACCTGTTCCTTTTTTGTTGTTCTTTAATTTCTACATATATGTTTTCTCACACCTTTTTCAATCATACCCACCCCTGACATTTTTTAATTAAAAAAACCAAAGCGCTATTTTACCCACAAAGAACAGGAAGAAACCTGTGGCCCAGGCTCCGGAGCCACCCGCAGGAAGCCCCTCCCTGACCCTCCCCGTCAGTCCCGCTTCACAGCACGGATGCCTCAGGCTCGGTCCCCTCTGCTCGGCTCTCCTGCCCACCCTGCTCTCGAGGCCCTAACCTCCAGGGACCCACCTCAGTGGACAAGGCGCCGTTTCCCTGAGCCCGAGCCCCATACAGTATTCCAGGGCCTGACTCATAGCTAGTCTGCGTCTGTATGTTCCCAGATGAGGGTCCTTATTCTTCAAAGCCTGTCCTGGGACAAGTCCCTGTCTGACCCCTATAAGTAGAGAGCTTCCCCCTCGCGTCCTGCACTCCACCTCGGGAAGATGCCTCTGCACAGGGTGCCGGGAGCAGCTGCCACGGTTTTACCTGAGACAGGAAGACACCTTGGTCTCCCTCTGACCTGGTACCTGGCTTCTCCCCAACCCGCAGCAGCACAGCCTCGGGAAGATCATCTACCCTGACCTCTCAGCTCTTCAGACGTCACGGGGCAATATCTGTCCTACCCCGGCCACCTCACCGACCGAAGACCAAGCTGGGGAGGAAGGAAGGGGGCTCCCGAGGCGCGGTGCCGGCACACCGCGGGGGAGGGGAAGACCGGCCAGTGCCGGACAAGGCCAGGGGCTCCTGTGGCTATGGCAATACCAGGCTCGTGCTTTCTGGAAACTGTCACGTGGACGCCTCAATCCCTTTTGTGGATCAGAACCGGCAGCTCAGAGCCAGACCTTTCGTTTTTCTTTTTCTTTTTAAATTTTTAAAATCTTTTTTGGTCACTTCTCATGGCATACGGGATCTTAGTTCCCTGACCAGGGAATGAACCTGCACCCCCTGCGTTGGCAGCACAGAGTCTCAACCACTGGACCCCCAGGGAAATCCCCATCAGAGCCAGGCCTTTCCGAAGGAGGCTGAGCGATGTCTCTGCAAGCATACGAACTGCCTGCACTGCAATGCGCCGGCTGCTTTCCCTGGTTTATCCTGCCCTTTGCCGAGCGTTTCCCTAGCCTGGGCCACTGGCAGCTTCTCACCACCCGGCCTGGAAACCCAGGCTCAATCCCGGGCACCCTCGGCAGCCTCCCCAGTCCAGAGCGGGCCCGTCACTCCACTCACGCGGTCCCAACCGTTCCAACCAGACAGCAGACTCACTGGCACCCGTGGCAGGGACCTGGGCGATGCCCCCATGTGGCGGGACCTGCTCGCCCTTTACCAGGGAGTCCGGCACTGTGCTGGGAGAGAAGAGCCGGGAGATGGGAGCAGGCTGGCTGCCCGTGCTGTGGCCAAGGTCTGTCACCAGGATACCGCTGTGGAACTCTGTGACCCCGGGAGCCTGAGGGGACACAGGGGAGAGAGGTCACCCCCGACCACAGTCATGCTGGGTGAGGGCCACCCAAGGTTATAGGATGCTGAGGGCCTGTCTGGGCCACTCACCCTGGCGATGGCAGCAGGCGTGATGACCATGTTGGACTGGGACACGGTGGAAGCCAACATCCCTTCTCTCTTCAGAGGGCCTGAGGTCATGATCACTGCTTGGGGCTGTCCTGAAAAGGCAGCTGCCAGAACAAGGGGGAGGTGAGGGTGGCGGCCCACCTGGGGGCCCCAGGGCTGACCAGGCTGCACGGCGCAGCGGGGCGGGGGGTGCCTAGGAACAGCACACGACCCCTCTGCTGCCACTGAGACGTCACCTCCCTGCTGCAGGGCGTGGAGACAAAGCTACTTGTTTGCAGCTTCTCCTTGGAGGTGACAGATTACAGACCCGGGAAAGAGATGACCGGGACCATGGTTTTTTCAAACTGGGTTGAGACTAACTAAAAGAACAACATAGAATAGAAAAAAGAGACTAGATCTACGCATGTAGTCTTTCATAACCCTTCTGTTTCCTATCACAATGTGTGTGTCACGAGTTTGCAAGCCCGGGGACGGGAAACATCCCGACGGGGGAGAGTCCCACTTGCTTCCCTCCACCTGACTCACCTGGGGCGAGGCAAGCATTCTTCAATACCAAGGACATGGGCTCTGGTTTGGGAGCAGGCACTATTTTGGGGGGCTGCTTGTGCCTCCCCCCAGGCAAGGATACGGGCTTGGGGTGCACGAAAGTTAAACGGGGTTGAGGAGGCCCGACTGTTGGTGGCCGGGTGACCGGAGACAGCGCCAGGCCACAGGGGGACACGGAGGGGGTGGGATAGTGGGTCGTGATGATGAGGCCCTGGCTCTGGCTGAAGGTGGTGGCAGAGGCGTCGTGGGTGAGGGTGGCAGAGGCCGTGTGGGTGATGACAGGGGGCGACTTGCTAACTTCGGCAAACTTCTGTGGCTGCAGGAAGGCAGGGGGAGTCGGGGGGTTCAGGGCAGTGGCGGGAGGAGGGCCTAATGGCAAGACGGGGGAAGCAGGTGCCGGGGCTGGGCTGGGTGACAGCAAGGGCATGGTGAACACGGGCAGGAAGGGCTGGGGGACACTCAGTGGTGGTGCAGAGGGACCTAAGTCTGTGGGCTGGAGAAAGGGGTCCCCTGGCTGGGAGGTGTGTTCACAGCCCTGCCCACTCGTGGGGTCCAGGGCCGTGGCTGCAGGGGGTGCAATGAAGCCGTCAGGGAGGCTTGGGGTGGGCAGAGCGGTGGTTGGCAAGATGCTCTCCTAAGGAAGGAAGAGGAGAAGTGAGGAACGAACGCTAGAGTCACACTGCTTGCTCCCTGTCACTCTCCAGCGCTGCACACCACAAGGTCCGACACAGTACCCGGCGCCTGGGACGATGCCCCGGGCAGAAGGGACAGAGGCGACGTCTCCCAGCCCTGGGACTGCTAATCTGCGGGGGCTGGATCTGGGTCTCCCCAGGCATCTGCAGGGGTCTCGTTTCCATTAGGAACTCAGTGATAACACAGGGCTCAGACACAGCGACTGTCTGCACACACTTGGCTCTCGGCCTGGGGATATCTTGTTTCTGGAGTCCAGCGGGGTCCCCCCAAAGTCCCTGCCATCTTCTGTTACAGAGCAGGGGCAGCCTGGATCACAGCTGCTCACGAGGCTCCCCCAGGACAGTTTCACATGTCAACTTCTAGAGAGGTCACCTCTTCCTAAAAGGGAAACGCTACAAGGAATCAATTGTTCGGATCTCAGTCTCTCTAGGAGAAACTCTTCACGGAGCCAGATGGAGGGAGAGAGGGTCAGGTCACGGGCGCCTAACTGGATATGGGCACCAGCCCGAGAGTCTCTTAATGGCAGAGAGCCATGCCTCACTCAGCTCAGCCGTCCCAGCAGCTGGTAACCAGCTTGTGTTGAGTGCTGAGTAAAAAGTAAAAGAAATACACGGAACTTCCTCTTCTTAGCGATCTGCGTTTTCCTTTGCTGTCTCACTGGCCCGGTCTTAACTGGTCAAGACAGAGCCTGCTGCACACAAGGTTATTTGGGCCTTAGGCGGGAGCATACGTTTACTGCTAGAGCCTTCCACCTCACGGACACCTAAGGATGCTTCCAAGGAGGGCTAGGACAACTTCTTTACACATTATATGTGAGTTCACCGCTGGATCTAGTCACCCCTAGCACTTTGCTTATGGCTGCAAAAGTTTGATGACCAGTCCGGTGCCCCTTCCCCCAAGTTCCCTCTACCTGAGCAGGAGGGCTGTTGTGATCTGGTGCAGGCCCTGAGGCGGGTGCAGGCAGCATGGAGCTGAAAATGGAGCGGCTGGAAGAGAAGAGGTCTGAAAGACAACATCAGGGGCTTGTAAGCTCTGTGCCCATCACTCCACTGCATTAAGATCCAAACAAATCAGGCACTGAACCCCACCTTACCCAGAGGAATGCCATGGCTAGAGGGCATCTCCCCGCCCCCCCACCACGAGGTACCTCTGCAGAAAGAGGCCCTCTGATTGGAGCTGCACAGGCTGGCAACCAGTGTGGCCTCTGAAACACTCCCAGGCCTGGGTGGCACCCGCTTTTACAGTGGCAGGAGCTCAAGGACCAGTTCTAACTGCGGGAAACGGCGAGGAGGTGGCCGTGTCGTCAGCGCACTCTGCTGCCTAGTGGGAGAACTGCTTACAGTCAAAGCCAAACCAGAGGCTCTGAGACTTGGAGCAGGAGACAGAACGACACCCCAGAGGCACTTTCCAGGCCTTGCAGCTACTAGCAAAGAAAAAAGTTCTGGGAAAATTCTAAGTCCTCTCCCTGGTCCATTCTAACAGTTGCCTCTATGACAGGGAAGCAACATCCACGTTGTCCTGGGTAAAGGGAGACGCAGGTAGCCGTGCTCTTTCTCTGCGCCAAGTCCTCACCCTGGAAAGGCTCAAAAGTGTCCATAAAGTCCAGGTTGGGTTGCAAAGGAATCAGCCCCGGTTGAATCATGTCTGCATTTCCCAGATGTGCTGTAAGAATCAGAAAGGAGACAGAGGAATCATTTTGCCTTCTCAGACCATGCTGTAGGAACATATTAAGGGCCTGGAATGGATCTTCCTGGCCCTGCTCGCATTCTATATTCTTCCGAGGAGAAACGTAGGCCACTGGCTGGGATTTCTCGTCAGTTCATGGGCATCGTCCGCCCTCAGAGGGCAGGAAAGAGAGTTTTCGTAGGAAAGGTAAACTGAGTATCTGGGAACAGACACCCCCCAGAAGCCGTGAGCACCTATGCAGAGATCCCGGGTTCCAATTTCAGCCTGTGGGCTCTTCCCTGAGGGGTTAACTGGACAGCTGCATGCTGCCAGGTGAGAGGCCAGCCCAGGAGTGCAAATGATTTTCCTGAGAGTGAGTGACAGGCCCTGTCACGCGCCCCAGGCCCCTGTCCTCTGCTGAGGGACAGTGTCAGAAATGTGAAACTGGTTGAGACCAAACCTCCACTGTTCCCTGGTGGTGGCACCACAGGCCTGATGGGGCCCTCACACAGCAAGGAGGCTGGTCAACCCTTCTCCTCACTGCTCACCCTAGACAAGCAACAGCAGCTCAGGGACGGCCCCGAGGCAGAGCCTGCCCTGGGGGCCCGGTGGAGAAGGCAACATTACCAGTCTAGAGTCTAGGGGCGGGTTACCTATTTCGCGTGGGTTGGGCCAGGCCACGGGCGGGTGCGAGGAAAGCGTGGAGAAGAGAGTGTCGCTGAATTCCGACATGAGCATGTCTGTGTTCAGCAGCGTGTCCTCCTCCATGGGGACTGGGGTCTTCCAGCCATCCCCGTGCTTGTGCCAATAAAGCATGTCATCATCCTGCCACCGACGGGGGGGAGGACAAACCAAAGGGGCAAGAGTGACTCGGGAGTTCCCAGCACGTCACATCAGGGAAATACGCTGCACTGTTTCACACAGCAGCCAGGGCTCCCATATAAGAGATGAGACAACGGGGTGGGGAACTGCAGGGAGAAACGACCTCCAGCCCCCCAGCAGAGAACTGGCTCATTTCCTTCACATCCTTCACGTGAGGGGGGGGGGCCCTCCTCTAGCCCCAGGGTGCACAGGGGCTACCTGTTGCTGCAGTGCTGGGCCACCCAAGTCACTGCTGTTTCTTGTCAAAGGGGGAGGTCCCATGAGGGTCCTCATGGCCCCCAAGCTCACACACCTGGGCCAGGCTGGAGAGGTCCTCATCCTTGTGCTGCTGGAGCTGCGGAGAAAGGACAGAGAGGACCAAGGTGGTCACTCAGGGCCCAGGCAGGGGACGAGGCCCTCGGCCTCTCCTTCCTGGAAGGGGCTAACCTCCAGAAACATCTAGGCCTTCTCTCTCTGGGAGGCGGGCGGGGAGAGGGATCTTGCCCCCTGCCATCCCCAGGCCAACGCTGGACACAGAGGAGATTCCCAGCCAGCGTTTGTGGAATAAAGAGCCCTGGCTCCTAGCTGGAGAAACTGAGAGCAGGCCACCACCTGGGCTGGGCTAGAATGCTGGGCCAAGGAGAGGGGTGGCCAGCTCCGGGCCACAGCCCTGGGGGCCGGTGTTCTGAATCCGGGCTCACTTCCCTCCCCTACGGGGCTTCTGAACGTGCTCTCTTCGGAGGCCGAGCCAGGTACCCTTTTCTTGAAGTAGGTCCTCCACTTGTGATACTCCCGGATCACGACCTCAATGCGGCTTCTCCAGTACTTCCCTTCCGTGCTCATGGCCTGTGGGGAGACGCAGGGCAGAGTGACGCAGCGGCACTGGAAGAGCTGCCCTGCCAAGGAGCAAGCGTCTGGCTCCGGAAGTCAGGCCCGGGCAATCCAGCTCTGAGAAGCAGGCTGCCTGCCTGCGGCTTCGTCCACAGACTGCGTCCCACCTCTGCCGGGCCACGCCCGGCCTCTGAGTGAAGGCGAGCTTTCACTTCATGGCCCATGATAACCCAGGGGGCTTCGGGGGCCCAGGTCCTGGAGGCTGGACCGGAGCAGGGGTCAGACAGAGTGCCTGGCAGGGGAGAAGCACAGAGTTCCCGGCGCTGGAGGAGCCTCCAGAGACCCAGGCTAGCTCTCAAATGTCCTTAGCCTCCACCACATTTCCAAAGGGTGAAAACAAACGGCCAGCCACAGAAGGTTCAGGTGGAAAGTGACCTCTAAGATACAGTTCAGCCCCCCCACTGTGCAGGGCGGGGAGCCCCTTCCACAGCAGCCTGGAAGACCTCTGGTGACGAGGCATTCACGACGGCCTCCGAGAGCCCACCTCACTTTCAGATTCCTTTTTTTTTTAATGGCTGGAAAATATTAAAGCAAGTCCCAGATATCCTATCATAAATCCCACATAATTTCACCCAAGAAAACTTCTCTGTGTGTTTCTGACAGTGAAGAATGTTCACCGTGAATAATGCAATATTATTACCAGACCGAAAAAAGTGATATTCCTTAATACTAACACCAGATCATGTCCTATGGCTCCCAACTGTCTTTCATTAGGTTACTTTCCAAGTTTTCCCCTCTTCATGGTAACAGTGAGACATGCTTGGACAAAACTAAAAAGATGCAGAAGAGTAAAAAGTGAAAGAAGAGTCTTCCCTCCTCCTCACTCTAATCCCACGAGGAAACAATTTCTGTATACCCTTCAAGACATTTCCTATGCATGAACAATCACACAGACACACGCTTAAAAAATTAACCTAAAGATACTCCAATACTGTTGTGCCAACTTGCTTTTATTCATTTACTATTTCTTCAACATCTTTCCCTCTCAGTATATAAAGATCTCGAGTTCATTCTTTAATAGTTAAAGATGTCTGCCTTGTAAGGAGTCAAGATCCCTCCCCATGGGACATCCCTGGTGGCACAGTGGTTAAGAATCTGCCTGCCAACTCAGGGTCCACGAGTTCGAGCCCTGGTCCGGGAAGATCCCACATGCCGCGGAGCAACTAAGCCCGTGCGCCACAACTACTGAGCCTGTGCTCTAGAGCCCACGAGCCACAGCTACTGAGCCCGTGAGCCACAGCTACTGAAGTCCGCGCGCCTAGAGCCCGTGCTCCACAACAAGAGAAGCCACCACAATGAGAAGCCCGCGCGCCACGACGAAAAGTAGCCCCCGCTCGCCGCAACTAGAGAAAGCCCGCGCACAGCCAAAAATAAATAAAAATTTAAAAAAAGAAAAAAAGATCCCCTCCCCGTTGACTTCCAGAGAAATAATGACATTAAAAGAAAGTAGAGGGTGAGTCCCGGTTGGAGGACCCCCCTCAGTCCCTGGGTCAGCCCGGCCTGAGAAGGCGGGAGCCTCTGTGGGGTGTCAGAGGCCACCTGCCCCCCGCATCACCATCGCTTCTCAGGGTCAAAACAGCTGCCAGGACAGCACAGCCCCAGCACCCTGTCCTGCGTCCTCCCTCTGCGGGACCCAGAGCCCTCGGTCCCACCCTTGTGAGTCACCTCCTCCCGAGTGAGGGCCCATCACATGCCAAGTACCTCTGGCCGCCGGTGCTCGTCCACTTCCACAGAGCCGTCCAGTGGAGTGACAAAGTGGCACACGGGGTTCTTGCGCTTCTCCAAATCTGGGCGGGGAGAGGGTGAGACAGCGTCACTGCGGCAGAGACCCCCACAGGAGCTCCGCCTCTTCCTTTCACACCCTGCCCCTCAAGGGGGACCCTTAAGGGTTCTTTCCTTCTCCTTCCCTTGGAAAATGAGATTTCAGGGAAACAAAGGGGTCCAGGTCCAAGGAAAAGAGTCTGGCAGTGATGTGTGGGCGAGAAAGGGAATCTGGCTGATCAAGAGAAACACCGGCCTGAGCCTAGGGGACCCCCAGCACGCCGATCTCCTGCAGAAGTCGCCAGACCCACCTGTACCCAAGCCAGCTGGACACAGGACGCAGCCTGGGCCTGCATCGTCTCAGACCTGCTGAAAACAGGAACTGTTCCCCGACTCTCCAAATGTCACCTCTCGGCTGTACACCCGTCCCTCCTCCTCTGCCTTTACAACACTGAGCACACTAGGTTGGGAGCAATCGGCCTACACTTCCGCCTCCTGCAGACGCTTGGCTGGGCCCCCAGTGCCGATGGCAATAAGGGTCCAGTTCACTCGGATTTGGACGCACACGGCCCGAGAGAGACTTCTGTTTGACACACAATGTTACAAGAGCAGGCTCCGGGACCCCCGAGGTGCAAAGGTCTCCTGGTGGCAGAACCTGGAGGGTCTCCGGCCCAGCCACGCGGCACTTACACTGCATGTACCATGCCCGCCAGATGGCATTGTTGAGCCGGATCTTGTCTCTCCACTGGAGCTTCAGGCCCTTGAAATTCTTCCACTTCGGAGACACCAACTTCCCACTGAAAGGTAAAATGAAGAGGGGAAACTCAGTGATTTCTCTGAAAATGGAATGAATCACAAAGTGCCACCCAATCATTCCAGGCCTCAAAATTCTGGATTAACCCATGTAAGCCACAGGCTAGGCTTGATAGGATACACAAGGCACTTTAGGATTTCTTCAAAGTGATACAGATGGAGTACAGGGGGCAATGGTGTTGGGTATGGAGGAATCAGGATCGGCCATGGGTTGGTAACTGCTGGAGTGAGGTGATGCTACCGGGGTTCACTATCCTATTTTGTCTACTTTTGAATATCTTTAAAATTTTCCATAATTAAAAGTTAAACATCTGCTGATTTTGCCTCATACATGTATCAAATCATCACGTTGTACACCTTAAACTTAAACAACGTCATTCGTCAATTTTATCTCAGTAAAGTCGGCGGAAGGAAAAAAGAAATCTGCTGACCACCGAACGAAAGCCAGCCCACTTGAACCTGGTCTTGGCCACCTCCTTTGCCACCAGTCCCCCTGAGGCACTTACAGTCCAGGCACACACGTCCCATTGGCCTCAGAACCCGCGGGGCCCTCTCCTGCCTCCAGGCCCCTGTGCCTGCGTTCCTCACTCTGCACGGACCTCCCTCCACCCCTGGCCACCCACTCATCCTTCCAAGTGATGCTCAAACATCATCTCCTCCGAGCCGGCACCGGCCTCTCCCAGGCTGCCGCCAATCCCTTCAGGACCCCTGAGCACTGTTCACACCTCAAGGACAGCACTCATCCACTCCCCGTGTAGCAATGTGTCCCCACACCTCCTGCCACTAGACCGCAGCTTCTCGAGGGGAGGGCCCTTCTGGCATCCTCATCTGAAGCACCCAGCACAGAACTTGGCACAGGGCAGGGGCTCATGTAATAATTCTTCACTGCATGACTTAAAGGGCCCTTGCAAACAAAGCTAACGGCAGGCAAGGAATGCTGCCTGGTGGCACAGGCTTCTCAGATAGTTTAGTTTTTCAAGGGCTGTGCCAGGAGCCACCTTTGAGCAGCTGGCATAGGGCTTCCCCTCTTCAGATGGCTTGAGATGGGCAAGGCACGGTCACTGGTCCATACAAAGGGGGTTCTGTGGGTTCTACATCACTGCAGGCCACAGCCCTGCCCCTTCTCCAAACCCACTCAGAAATTCCATGTGACAAGCAGTCACAACAGCTGGGGTCTTCAAAGACGCACTGCCTGAGCGATAAACATTCCCTGAACCCAAACACCTGGTTTACAAAGCAGAAGCCCCTGGCGGTGCACCTGGCAAACCTCACGCCCCCACCGCAACTCAACCCAGCACTGGCCTAGGCTTTGGAAGAAGGCTGTGACCCCCCCACCCCCAGAGAAAAAGTCACAACAAGTCCTCTGAGAATCCGAGGGACAGACAGACAGAAGCCACCTCAGCTCAAAGGGTCAGGGGTTTCGAGCCCGTCACACGTCTTCCTCCTCCCACCTCTCCCCGGTCCAAAGGCACTTCCACCCCAGCTGTCACCTACGTTTAACAGCCAGCAGCCCAGTGTTTCTGAGCCTCTGTGGCACGACTGTGTACTGGCTGTGAACTTTCAGTCACTTAATTTCTCTGACACAACAGTTTCCTGGGTAAAATTACAATAACACCATTGCCTCCAGAGTGTTTTAATAAGGATTAAATGTACACACACACACGCACACGTTCTTAGACACACAGGACAGGTAAACCCTAAGGTAAAATGTAAATGTAAGCTATTAATAACCACCTCAGTGATCTGGATTTAAGTTATTTTCCGAAGGCCTGGCTTTTAACACCTCCTGACTTGAAAAGTCCTCTCTTTCGTGTTTGCCGCCACTGTCATGGGGTGCCTCCTCCCCACAGGAAGAAAAGGTGACACCCACGGGCCCCCCTCTCGACACCAGCGAGCAGAGACCAGGGCAAAGGTCAGCCTCGACCCCCGCACTGCTGCAGAGCCACTCACTTCCTCAGGGCCCGGAAGGCAGGCCTGGGTCCATCTACTCACTCGACAAGCGTTGAGGACCTACTGTGTGTCGTGCACACACTAGGAGGGGAGGAAAAGGATGGGTGAGGCGGACGAGGTCCCGGCCCTCATGGAGCATATGAGCTGCTGAGGCATGAGTCCTGCCTACGTGCTGCGTGCCTCGAACAAGAGCAAAGGGCTGTGGGAACACAGTCAGCATAACTAACCCTGTCTGAGCAGTCACAAGAGGCATTCTGGAGAAGGTAACATCTCAGCTGAGGCCCAGGGGATGAGGAAACTTCAGCTAAACCAAGGAGAGGCGGAAAGGCCTGTGCTGGTCCTTCTGCCTGGCTTGACGGCTCTCAGGACAGCAAGACAGGTCCAGTCAAGGCCGTAGAAAACACCCAGAATGGCAGGAGCTGGAGGGGTGGGGGAGGCGGGGGGATGCTTCTAGGCCAGTCTGGAGGGCAGAGTATACACCAGAGTATATTGGTCCCGCCTCTGGGCAAACAAACCCTCTTTCCCCTCCTCTGAAAGATCTTCCAGCAACCCGCTGTCTAGCCAGGCAGGGCGTTCCTGCCTGTTCCAGAAGAAAACAAAACAAAACAGAAAACCCTCCCTATTTTTTTATTTCCTTAAGGGAAAACAAAACTTCTCTATAATTGACAGCTTCCTTATGTTGAAGGCCAGGATTCAAACACCACTTTCTCTGTGTGTCTAGCAGGACCAGAATCCTGACCCGGCATCTGCCGCCTGCAGAGACAGCTGCCGAGGACAGAAGCAGAAGAGATGGGATGGAAAACGAGGACTCCTGTGGGGAGAAACTTTGGAGTCCTGCAACGTTCCATTACTTTTTTTTTTTTTTGGCCGCACTGCACGGCATGTGGGACCTTAGTTCCCTGACCAGGGATCAAACCCGTGCCCCCTGCAGTGGAAGCGCGGAGTCCTAATCTCTGGACCGCCAGGGAAGTCCCCTGCAACATTCTGTTAAGGACTGACCTCCGGGCTTAATATAAACCCACCCTTACTCCTGCTTTGTTACTTAAGACAAAGTGGCTGATGTGAGCATAGAGCATCTTCTCAGAGAAGTCAGACAACGCCAACAGCTTCAATTACTTACCACGAAGGGGGTGGGAAGATTCAGAGAGAGATCAGACCCTGGAGGCTAGAAACCAAATCTGACAGGGTATGGTTTGGGCTTCTCATCTTCTTCCTCCTCAGATGCTGGGATGCTTCCCTCTTCTTTGATGTTTATTTCCAACTGCTATCACCCATCAACTGAGGCTTCTGTAATATCTCAACAGCCAACAGGCGGCGCTCAACCAACACAAAGAAGTAAGTCTGCAACCAAAACCAAAACCTAAACTGCCCGCAGAGGTGGAGAGACGTTTCCTTACTGATGGGCTCCCTGGAGCCTTTGATGTGCTGATGTCACTGTCCATCTTCAACGGGGAGAGGAGACATTCCCTATACAGACATCCGAAGACAAGGACTGGGACCCTTTCTATGGAGGTACCCCAAGTCTAGTTTCCCACAGAACATACAGGAAAGGCTGCTCCGAAGAGTTCTAAAAGGGACCGTGCGGCTCCTTGGTGGCGCTCCCTTGAGCAGGACGCCCACAAAGCAGCCATGATCGATTCGTGCTGCCCTCAGCCCTGTCCCAGCTTCACTCGGCTTCCAGACACGGCTGATTGGAATACTTCTCAGTCTAACTCAGGGTTCTGCCATATTCCTTCTTTAAAGTGTTACCATTGGGACTTCCCTGGTGGTCCAGTGGTTAGAACTTCGCCTTCCAATGCAGGGGATGAGGGTTCAACCCCTGGTCGGGGAGCTAAGATCCCACATGGCTTGGGGCCAAAAAACCAAAACATAAAACAGAAGCAGTCTTGTAACAAATCCAATAAAGACTGGAAAAATGGTCCACATCAAAAAAATCTTTAAAATAAAATAAAGTGTTACCAGAAACACATGATCAAAATCTAAGACCACTGGGAGGCTCTCCTCCGGCCTTGCCTCCCAACCCCACCTCCATAAACGCCTGGGAACCCACACACACACCAGCTTCCTGATCAGAACAATGACCTTCATTCACCTCCCGCTCTCCCAGTCTTACTCTGGGAAGGCCAGGGTCTGGGTCTGACTCATCCCAGCACAGTGCCTGGCACGTGGGAGGTGTGATTAAATATGGAATTACTGAGTACTAAACTTTTCCATAAAGAAAAACCTTCATCCCCACCCTGCCACGGCAGCCCTTCCTAGAAGACAGGTTCATGACACGGGAAGGAAGTCTACAGCACAACAAAAGTCTCTCTCAAAACTGCCATTGGGTGGAACGAGCAAACTGAATTCTTCAGAGGTCTGGCAAGAGACTGCTTTGGAATGAAAATTAAAACGCAATCCTTGCACAGAGAGGAGCTGGAATTAAGAAGAATGGGAGAGAGTGAGACTGGGGCGGGGACGTGGGGTTCTGTTGGTCCCAGGTAGGATTAGGTCCCAGGTCCTAATTCCTGGCCAGACCATTCTTTCCAAGAGAAAGCAGGCAAGGGTTCTGGGGTCTACCGGTGTGGGACCCAGACAGCGGTGGAGTCCTTTCATTTGGTCATATGCAACCACATTTGCTTGTGAGGCAAGACTTCTTCACCATTCCTGATGCTTCCTGGAAACCCACGGGCAAAACGTTCCAAGGCCTATACTACCCAAAGCAATATACATATTTAATGCAATACCTATCAAAATATCCATGACATTTTTCACAGAACTAGAACAAACAATCCTAAAATTTATATGGAACCATAAAAGACCCAGAATTGCCAAAGCAATCCTGAGGAAAAAGAACAAAGGAGGCATAACTGTCCCAGACTTCAGACGATACTACAAAGCTACAGTAATCAAAACAGTGTAGTATTGGCATAAAAACAGATACATGGATCAATGGAATAGAATAGCGTGCCCAGAAATAAACCCATACACCTATGGACAATTAATCTTTGACAAAGGAGGCAAGAATATACAATGGGGAAAAGACAGTCTCTTC